TCTACAGCAGGAAAATCCTCCACAGCTCTTCTTCCCTGATTTTCAGTGCCTTGATGCTGATGAGGACGGGCAGCAGCACTATGCTGTCTCCTTCATCTTTAATGGGCACTAGAAAACCATTTCTAGTCATTTTTATTAAAGGAATTCACAAAACTTTTCATGTTTGAGGCAATGCAAAGAACAGACAACACAGGTAAGCCCTATGGCAAGGCAAACAATCCAGAAAAATCCAGAAAGTAGTAAAACCACTGTTCTGTGAGCCAGAAACCACTCGGCCTTCCCCATACCTGTGGGGAGACTACAGGAGATTTACTGAAAGATTCCTCCTCTTCTTACAGCCCGGATTATACAAAAGGGTTTTGTATTCCCTTTCGACTCTAGCAATGGTGGCTCAGTTCCCCCAGCGCTGAGAGAAATTAACAGACAAAAGCACTGGCACACACAATCCTAAAGACCTCATACACGTTTAAGAAAAAAACAGGGGTAGCCACTGCCCTTCAGAGCCATCAGCACAGGGTACCGGCTTCTCAAACAGATTCTGGAGCTGGACTTCAGTGGCAAAAATCCAGCAGAAAAACCCTGATCTTCCAAATCATCCCCTTTAGACACTAAAAAATAAGTTTCAAGGCCCAACTCTGAGGAACTGAAAAGCTGAAGTTCTTCTGCAAGGCACTCATGTCAGAATATTAAATTTCATTAGCTTATACCATCTTAATACCCAGAATGAATGCTCCAAAAATCACTTATTTTTATTTAGTACCTATAGCATTTAAAATATGTATTTTATGTTCTATAGACTTACAGCACACTAAAAAAATGAATCTGGGTTACCTACCAGCTGCAAGCCACTACAAAAGTAAGGACTAACCTATAACCCTAAATGGCTATTTACTTAAAAAGACACCAGAATTCCTCTGCAAATAGTGAAGTGTCACAGCACAGACTCGAGGAAAAGCTTTTCACTAGATCAGGCATCTGCACGCTGGAGTTTGTTAAAAGAATATTGAGAAAAATCCCCAAAAGCCTTAAATTTGGCTCAAATGAGAGTGGATGAGCAAACAAAGCTCCCAACAACTCTGTTTCACCCACTCCATGCATAGAAACGCTGTCCTTGAGCACCTGGGGGAAAACCCAGGAGCACATCAAAGTGATACAACTACTGAAGAATGGCTAAAACCCAAATAATTCAGTATCTAATCATGGTGTGATACTTGATTTCTTAGGGAATCTTGACCCCTGTACATATACAAGAAGCTTGGAACCACATCCAAAAATTGACTCAACAGGCCAGTATAAAAATCCACACCTTCAGATACTGCTATGACCAAACTTCACTTAAAAGACTGAGACATAAACTTGGGCAAATTCCATATTTTCTGAATCTCACTGCATATAATTAAGTGAACAACAAGCTTTACATTAACTATCAAGAGATAAACACTATCCACATACAAGCAGAGGGAGAGGCAAGGAATAAAAGGATCTTAACCCATGCCAAAATTGAGGTGTACTGTATATACAATTAGCCAAAGTTTTATCATCAAAGGTGATAAAGAAAAGGATGTAAAGGACTTCTCCCTTCAAGGTATTCTGAATATGGACACTATCAAACCTAAACCCTTCAAAAACAACCCAGGTTTTTGAGAAATGCTTGCTACTTCCATGAAGTTATCTGCTGAGCTCACATCCTTCCTTTTTTTGCTTAGCCATCTTCACTCAACTGTGCATCCACAGCCCCCAGGATGAATGTACCACAGAGACAGCTCTATGTTTTCCATTAAAACCCTACAACAGGAGTAATCTGAATATTCCTTTATAAGAAACATTCCTGACTTTGAACTTTGTCTGCAGGAAACAGAAAACAACAAATTCTCTTTCTTAAGCCCTGCCTTTAGGAAGGAAGGGTAAGCTTTGCATACTCATTCTTGCATTCTGAAGAAAGCAGATTACATCCAGGATAAGGCAATTCAAAAAAAAAAAAAAAAGGTCTTCCAATGGGGCAGAACGGTAAGTAAAAAATAACAAATGCTCAAAGGCAAAAGAAAAATAAAAAAGAGAAACAAAAAAAGCCCAATAAACCAAAATAAAAGTATCAGAAAACAACTTTCAAACCCCTTTCCTAGACCTGCCACTAAATTAGGGCATCAGAGCAAAGAGCAGATTAATCATTTTGGTTGCAACATTTTCTCACAGGCTCCTCAGGAGCCATCCTCCCGGAGTAGAGAAACCAGAGGTGGAGTGCCACCCCGGGTGCCCCCGCGCTGGGATTTCAGCGGACCGAGAGGCGCTTCTCCCCCATCCCAGCCCGCAGCGGCTCCAAAGGCGCTCCGAGGCCGCCGGTGCGCTCCGGGCGCTGCCGGTGCCTCCTCCCAGCTCAGCACAAAGCTCACCATCCATTTTACAAGCGGCCAGGCTCCTTCCCGACACAACTTAACACGCTGGAACACTCACAGCGCTTAATCTGCTCCGATGACCCTTGGATACAAGGGCAGGCAAAACGCATCTCGAATAATTAAAAGGCGAGAAAAGGTATCGATATCCATATAAACAAACCTTCTGCAGATGGCGAACACGGCAATTAATCCCTCCACAAAGCCCCACCGCCGGGACCTGCTCACCCGAGCCCCCCGGCTCCTTAAACTTCACCGCCTAACAAAGGCTTTTATTCCCCCCCACCACCCTTTCCTCTAATTTGTGCTTACAATCCTCGGTGAATTATTCATACTCCTCAACTCACATTGTCCATCCGCCCCCCCTCCCCCCAGCGCGACTTTTGGGGATTTTTTAAAAGCCGAATATCTCCAGAACGCGAGCCGGCCCTTTTCCGCACAAAGCCGGGGCACGGCGGGCTGGGAGCGCGCCGGGCACGGGGCACGATCGATCCCCGCCCGCCCATCCCCGGCAGCGGAGCGGCCCCGGGTCGCTCCCGGGCAGCGCGGCCGACCCCGGCGCTTCCCCCCGGCCCCGAGCCCCGGCCCGCTCCCCCCGCCGACAAAATGGCGACGTGGACGAGAAGGAGAAGGAGGAATGGAAGAGCGCAGCGCTCCGCGGGCCGGGGGAGGGCAGCGGGGAAGAGGACGAGGAGGGGGCGGCGGTAACAAAGCAGGGGGCGGCGGGGGCCGGCAGCAGAGAGCGGCGGGGGGCGGGCGGCGCGGCATCGCTACCTCTTCTTGTCGGTGACGCCGCCGGGGCTGTCCATGGCGGCGGGATGGCTTCTCCTCCCGCCGGCTCCCTAGAACGCGAGGCGGCCGCGGCTCACGACGGCGGTGGCGGGGAGATGGCGGCGCTGAGCCGGGTGTGGGGCCGCGCGGGCTCAGAGCATCGGGGCACGGGCTGCGGGGAGGTGCGGGCGCGGCGCGGGGCCCGCGCTGCGCCAGTGAGGAGCGGCGGCGCGGCCCGGCCCCTGCGCGGGGTCAGCTGAGCGCTCAGCTGGGCGGGGGCCGCGCCTCACGTGCGGCGCTGCGTGTGGGGCGGGCCCGGGCCCGGCCGGCCCCACGGCGGTCCCACCGCGCCGGGCCGGTCCCACAGCGACCCCACAGCGGCCCCACCGCGCCGGACCGGCCCCACAGCGGCCCCACCGCGCCGGGCCAGCCCCACAGCGACCCCACAGCGGCCCCACAGCGGCCCCACCGCGCCCGGCCGGCCCCACCGCGGCCCCACCGCGGCCGCCGGTCCCACAGCGAATCGCACCCTCTATCGCCTCCTTTTTTCCTTTCTCCCGTGTAACTTTGGTCACTGCTTGACTCCGCTGCCTCTCCCAAGGTGTAGTACAGTAAAAGCCCAGGATGTTTTAGACTCGTAGAAACATCGAGGTTGGAAGAGACCTTTAAGGTCATCCAGTCCAATCATCCACCTGGCACTGCCCCTGCAGCCCCTAAACCGCATCCCCAGCGCATCTTAAACACCTCCAGCGATGGTGACTTCACCACACCCGAAGTGCCTATTCCCATGCCTGACCATCCTAACAGAGACATTTTTATTTTCTGTCTAACCTGAATCTTCCCTATCTTGCCTTAAGAACATGTCCTCCTGTCCTCTCACTGCAGCCACGGCAGCAGAGACCTCCGTACACCTCCTCTCTGTGAGTTTTAGACAGTGATGAAGCACCCCCTGCACCTCCTCTCCTCTGGACAAAGCAAACCCAGGTCCCACAGCCACTCCTCACAGGACATTTTCTAGTCCATTTCCAGTTAAAGGGTTCAGAACCTCACATTAATTAAAGGGAACAGTCAACTCAAGAGCCAGGCAGCCCAGAAGGGGAACCGACAGGTAATTAAGCACATTTCGAGCAAGTTTTACAACTTCCCAAACCCAAAGCAAACCCAACAGCAGAGCTAGGAGGCTGTGCTGAGACACTGTGACCCCTCTGCCTTCCCTGCCACCCACCCAGACTGGCCTAGATCCAATGCCATCTTCCCAGTGCCTGTGTCCAATTTTCCTCTCCCTGTCCCCCCATGGCAAGCCTGGCCTCAGGTACTGCTCACCTGAGAACCTCAGGATCTCCTGCTGACTTGAAGTCCTTGCTAGTAGGAACCCACAAGATGTAAAGCCCACACATTTAAAGTTAAAAGCCTTAGTTCTGTACCCTTAGCTCAGGGCCATGTGTGGGTAAGTGCTCTGGAGACGCAGGGAAGGGACAGTTCCAGGTGGAGTGACCCCACAGAGCTCAGGGGTTCCTTTACATCTTGTGGGTTCCTACTAGCAAGGACTTCAAGTGACCATCTGCAGCTGAACCTTATGAGACTACTCAGTTTGCAGCTCAGCAGTAATGATACCTTTAAAAAAAAAAAGCAGCTTTGACAGGCATGAGTGGCATTCTTTAGCTGCTGTGTGCACATAAGAAACACCTGCAGGGCAAAGTGATGGTGTTTCAGTACTGCACCTTCCTAACACTTCTGCTGTGGATTCCCAACTTCCAGGTTGGTTTAGGCATACAGTCATGGGTGTTCTGTATTTGGGGGGGGGGGGTATTTTTTGTTGTTGTTTTTTTTGTTTTTTGTTTTTTTTTTTAGAAGAAGAAAAAGAAGTGACTGTGACATTTGTTAGCAATCACAAGGAGTTCCAGTACGAAAATGATTGCTTCTGCCCACAGCAGTCAGATATGTGGAAGATGCACAGGTGCTTCTGACTATTTTTATTCCTTCAAGGTTTTTCCATCCAAACACAGACAAAGCCCAGCTCTGCTTTGCTTATGAGCTGTGACAACACAATAGCCCATGGCAGTGTGGCTATGAACTACTGATATTTCTGTTGTTCTGTGCTCACTGGAGCCTTGAGAAGAAAAACAATCTAAGCAAGACTCAAGCTCAAGTGTCTTGCATAAGTACCAAGAAGCCCTCCCCAAGGGCTCACAGACAACTTTATCTTTCAAAACGAGGTTTAGGCAGCTCAAACATAGGAAGAAATTCAGTTGTGCACTGCAGCTTGTGTAGGTTTTTTTAGTCTGTTCACAGAGTCACCATAACAGCCCCTAGAGAATTTTCTGGTTAACTGGGGAGGGATCTCCTGGTGGGTGCAGAAATGACAAGGCCAGCTCAATGCCACCTTCCCCACCAGAGCCCCTGGAAGGCATCCAGGGAGTTTTGGTAGTGAAGTGGTGATAACAGAGGAACTTCCCGTGCCTTAGAGGAGGCTGGTGCAACTCAGAGCAGCCGTTGCAGCTTCTCTAATCGCTCAGATTGAGGTTGAAGTGGTTCCTGGTGAGCCTGGCACACTTGAAAGTGAAAGCCTCTTCTTTACTTTGACTGCAATCTCAGTGCCCTTCAAAGACCAAGAGGCACTTGATGCAGTCTGGACCAGAGACTGCTGAGTTACAAGCTACAGAACCCGCCTTACCCTACCCGATAGGATTTTATTTTCACTCTTGTCACTCTTTGAATGACAATTTTAGTGCCTATAAGGATGGATGTCTTAGGGTTCACTTGTGCACCTTTATTACTACTATCCAAATTCACATAATGTGTAATATATCAAAAGGGGTTCTCATTGAGTATTCATACCTATGGTTCTGCTCACTTTAAATCACTTGGACACAACAGCTCGAGATGTGTTGGTGACCCCTGAGTAAAAATCACTGGAGAAAAATCCCAGTCTACACTTTGCTAATGCTGCTCAATGATTGTTCAAAGATATCAAGACTTCCCAGCATGAACTGTCCGGGGAATTGTGAGTAAGTGTTGTGGTCTCCTTACGAGACACATTTCTTTCATGCCAAACATGCTTACCCCGAGCTCATAATAAAGAATAATGCTTCAAAACCCAGCTGTGTTTCTGAAGGGTGTTAGTGGAAACTTGTTCTGCAATTAAGCATTTCATACTGTAGCAGTTCTTGAGACATGTTAAGCAAATACTCTCCCTCACACACATCCTTCCCTTTACTAAACTTTTGTGTCACTCCTCTAATAGTCTGCATATACACTTTCTTTCCCACTTTCCCAGTGGCTGATAACAGAAACTTGTTCCAGTATATGATGCCTTAGTCACTTTTCTTGACCTTCATTGCTGCTCTAAGTTCCCACTCACGCTTACGTTAGAGAACTTCCTGAGCACAATAGTGTTTGCAAATGACTAATTAGGGCAAATGCACAAGCTGGTGAGTCAGGGAACGGCTCGGGAGGACAGCGGCAGCGACTGGGCAGCAGAACAAGTCCGGGTGAAGATGTGAGAAGTGCTCCTGCCCGTGCCTTCGGATCTGTTTGACACATTTGTTTGTGTCACCGTGATGGGCTCTGGAGGCATTTACTCTCAGGATCCAAGTGCATCCCTGCTGGGGAAGATGAAAGTCCAGCGTCCTCGCACATCCCCATCAATAACGACTGGCAGATCTTCTGCCTTCGGTGGGAAGAAATCAGGGATTTAATTAAGGCATCTTACCTCCCAAAACCGCTCATCATTTCTGAGCAGGGACTCACTGGGGCAGGCAGAGGGTGTTAAAGAGAAGCTCCATTTATCTCTCTGGAGCTGGCAGCTCACACCACAGGGGATGTCACAAATAACCTGCCCTCAGCACTGGCTTTCCTGGGCTTTTGCTTCATTGTAGAGCCCCCTATGCTGCCTTGAGAGGCTACCTAGAACAAAAGCTAGGCAGTGTTAAAGGAATAAAGTACATATTTATTTTAAAAGTCTTCAAAGTATACACCTTGGGCAGCACAAGAGCCTGGCCAAAACTACACCCAAGATGGATGATGGGTCATGAATTTTCACACTTTTATAAGTTTTGGTCCATTTCCATATTGGGAACGGTTTTCAATTGCAGCTTCAGGTTATTAAGTCCCATCCTCCTGTTGTTTATGCTTTTTGGGGCTGAAGCTGTAACAGTGTCCTTGGTTCTTGGGCTGGAAAAGGATTGTTTTTTCTAATTAAACTGTGAAGAGAACTTGCTAACAATTTTTATGAAGTTCAGAGGTATATACTAATGCAGTACAGAATCTGAAAAATATGAAAACTAAAACTTAAGGCATCACCTACATGTAGGGAATTACACTCACTGGTTCAGTAATTGAGCTATAATGAAGGGAATATTCTAGCCTATCCATATTTGACAAAAAAACCTGTCTTGCTCACAGCACCACTGCGAAGTATTGAGTTGACAGAGGAATTCCACGAGGTCTCAAATGCTGTGCAGACCCAGGGCTCTGTAACACAGGTAATAGTTGTTACTACAACTTACTGTGCTTAACAGTGCAAGAACCTGAGAGCTCTGATGGTCAACTCATTCTACAATAGAAAAATGAACTGAAATTTGAATCTAATTCAAAGCAAACCATTGGCATTGGAAGCCTAATGCTGCTCTTTCTCAAATATGAAATATTCTCTGAAATGAGAGTACGTGATGGGAGACACAATCTCGCTTTGGCAACTGTTGTTTCCTTCTGTCTTTTCTAACCTCAGTGCTTCTTCTTTCCTTCTTGTGCCAAGATCTTGTTTATTTTTCCTTTTGCATCTGCACAATCCCTATTTTTTGAACTATGACCACCTCTTACAGTCTGCTTGGGTCACTGTACACTTAGGCATTTGGAAATACCCTCTGGACTGCTGTTTCTACACAGGTACCCCAATATGATAACAAATTCTTCAGTGTAATAAAAGCACTATGTCCAATTCAGTGCAATTAGATTTGGGGAAGGATTTTCTACCCATGAAAGGAGTTTAACAGATGAAAGCATAAGGCAAGCAGACACTCAGCAGGGTACACTGTACAATTTCACCAGTTGGCTCCATCCTGCCTATCCCAGGTCCCTCCTGAGCAGATACTGCCAATTGTACAGTGGTTTTCCTGATGTGGACAAAAAAAAAAGCATGGAATTTTAAAATTGTCCTTACAGAAAAGATGGGTTTGTGGTCCAAGCCCTGAACAAAGGCTCTGGGGGCCGAGGTTTGGTTCCAGGCTTCCTGTAGGACTCTGCACAACTCACTTACAGAAAGGCTTTCTATTTTCAGTGCTGCAATCCTTTGCCACAGTGCTGAGTGGAGGAATCCACTGCATGCCATGCATTAAGTCCACTTCCCCATGCAGCAAACTGGCAGTTCTGGAACCCTCAGGAACCAGCTGAGGAGGGAGCAAGAGACAACCACAATGTAAATATGGAGGGAAAAAAGCCTTGTCTAAGCCAGGTCCAGGTTTTGGCTTTCAAGATATGTCTGTGCTCAGGATCCCCAGCTGGTAACTCCACCCTGCAGCAAAGCACAGCAATGGGACTGGGAAAGAGCAGACAAAGTCTGGGGCATAAAGTGCTCTCTTGGAGGTCAGAGATGCTTCTTCAGCCTCTGTCCTGTCCAGCTCAGAGCATGGTTTGGTAACAATCTGGTCAAAGCTTCCCTTTGTATCTCCTCTGGGAGCTGTTTCAGTTTAGCCCCTTAACTGCAGTTTCCAGAGGAACATTGGGGACATGAAGGAACTGGGTTTAAATCCTCTCACCACACCAGGCAAAAGAGATTTGAGCAGAGTTCTCCCTACTCAAAGTGCTTGAACAGTGGGCTTGGTGTTCCTTGGCATGATCCTGAGTGCTCCTGAGCTCACCACGTGCTGCTTTCATGGCCACCAGTCTCACTGTGGGAGATGGAGACACAAACACCTCCTTTTCCTCCTCTGCTCTGCTCACACATCCAAGCACAGCTTTCTTGAGAGGCTGTGGTGGCCAGGGCAGCACAGTCTGTCATCACACTGGGAAGCAGGACACCGGCTGGTTCTCCTTGTGACCAACAAAGTGGTTTTAACCCACATCTCTGGAGCCAGCAGGACACTCCCCATTTGCCAACCAGCTCGTAACACCTCAGACCTACCAGGCTAGTTTTACTTTCTTCTCTGCACTTCTTCCCTTTTGAAGGCACTATAAACACAAGTGAAGCTCTTTGAGGACAGGGAAGGGAAGCCAGATGAGCAGCCAGCAGCAGCAGCGTGGATGGGGAGACAGTCTTTGCATAAGTTATAACCCAGAGCAGAGGGAATGTGCCTTTCTCAGAAGGAGTGCTTTCAATTTAATGCAGATTTCTGACTCCTACAGCTAGTTATGATCCACAGGAGCATTCAGAAAGAGGCTTCTTTTTCCTTCTTTTGATCCTTTTCATCCCTCCTACGAAGCCCTTTGTTATTTTACAGCCTAGACCACAAGTTTCTCACACAGAGCAAGAAAGAGTCCAAAATAAATTGAAAGACGAAATTAAATGGGCTGCACTTGTAACGAAAATGTAAAGGTGACCAAACTCTTTTACCTGATCCAACATAAAGAAGTTTCAAATTCTGATTCGGGATTTTTCTTGGTTTGATATTAAAACACACTTTCTTTCCAATTATACAGTTTCTTAAGTGTTTTTGCCTAACATTTCCCCAACTTGGATCTAGCTAAAAGACAAAGGGCTTGAGGTTTTATTTGTTTGTTTGTTTGTTTTCCCAGCAACACATTAGAAAATGCAGTGCACGCTTTAATGACTACGTCTGTTTTAACATGCCTTTTGGAGGACTGTAAGCATTTATGGGGGAATGAGGTAATTAACATATTACTTGGGCATGCAAAGACAAGTTCGAAGCAGCTGTCTTTATTCTCTTGATATGGCAACACAATTGTTAAAACAATGCCTTCTTACATCTTTCTTTTTTTCTCTCTGTGTTCACAGACCACTCAAGTTGCTTGTTTAAACCAAAGCTTTAAGAGCTTGCCAGATTTTCAGGACCAGTAATTTTTCTCTCAAACACACTGTTCCCTCTTACTTATTTGAAGTAGCAAAATAAAAATCAATATCTCAATCCCTTTAAGGAAATGTTGAACTCAAGAGCTCCCAAGTTCTCATTTCAACCTCTAAATAAATGACTTCTACAGTACATTCATTTTTCTTCCAGACTTTCCAGATTTTCCACCTATTGATCTTGAACCTCCATGGTTCTTCACATTAATCTCACCTTCATGGAGGTGCTGAGAGGTGGGTTTAGCTGATCCAGCCCCACTGTGAGAGGTGCCAGGTACCCCTGAATATTGGGAAGCACAAGAAGATGGAGGAAGGATCCAGCTGCGTTGCCTCCTGCCTTGCAGAAATCCAGGTGGGTAGGTGAGGGGGGGGATGCCTAAACAGGTGTTTTAAATCACAGGGTCAAGGAGCTGATCATTGCTCTAGGCAGAAACAAGCACTTTGCCAGCTTGATAACAACAGAGCTGAGACACAGATTACAGTTCCTTTAATTTTCTTCCAGTTAATTAAATGATCAATCGCAGCGCTGGCTTCCAGCCGCAGCAGTGCCAGCTGAAATGAGCTCTCCAGCTTCTGAGGGGATAATCAATAGGCATCTTTCACTGCAGCACTATGGGCTTTTATTTTAAAGACAAATATTAAAATGCAGAGGCATCATACTGCTGTTATTCACAGCAGACTGAGACCTTCTCCAGCTCCCAAAAAATTCCCAGCGAAGGGAAGAGTGGCACAAGTAGTTACAGCTTTAGCTTGCGTTGTGTTTTCACTTCTCTGCTTACTATAGGCTTCCTTCATGACCACAGACAAAACACTTGGGTCCAGATATGCAAAGGTATCCAGGCAGCTGAGATAAAAATCAGTTGGACCTAGATACATAAATAGTCTGTGGATGTGGCCCTTTGGAAGAGAGATTGAGTTCTCCACTTAGGAAAGGTGTAATAGGTACTTTCCAGCAGAACAACTCCTGTCACAAAAAGCCAAGGCCAAGTAAGAGCTGAGGATGGGCAGAGACTGAGCAGCTCCAGGTATTTGGAGCATTCTGCCTGGTGTCTTCTCCCACCTCAGCCAGCAGCAGGAGACCAGCATCCCCTTTGATGGCTTTCCAGACATTTCTTTGTTCAAACTCCACATTCCTTTAGCTGGAGATGCTGTGGAGTGCAGGAAGGGCAAAGTGTAGGGCAGTGAAACAAGGACTACCACTGCTGGGCTCTCAGAGCACTTTGGCAGGTGGGAAAATCAGAAAAAGCAATAAAACGGAGGCATAAAATGGGCTAGGGGCATTTCTGTACTGTTAATGAAGACTTTGGCAGGTTCTGGTAGGAACTGACAAGCCCAGCATTTCGGAGCCCAGGAAACCCCTGGGTTTATAAGATGTCAACGCAGGGTGGAAGGAGTTTGCCAAGGAACTGAGTAAGCAAAATTCAGAACCATAATGACAAAGTTGGTGCCTCAAACCTCACTTTGCTATCTGAGATCATGCCCTAAATAATGAAATGTATATCAATAAGAGTCAACTCATGAGCGTGGGAAATAAAGATTTTGTAGGATAAGATAAGAATGACCACAGACCTCACCATTTTCAGAACCAAATGAAAATTTGTTTATGCTGACTGCTTTTGCTCAGGGCAAACCTTTAGTACATACAGGTATTCATGCATACAACAGAGAGAGACACACAAGCTAATCAATGTTTGGTTTTCCTGTTTTCTTGGAAAAGAAAAAAAAAAAGTTAGTTTATGGATGTAATTTTCATTTTTAGTTGAGAAACCCTTGGCTCACCATGAACAAAACACATCATCAAAAAACTGGACGGCAAGGCCAAAACCCAGTTAAATTTCATCACCATTTCATGACTTTCCTTTTAAAAATGCAGAAGGATTGTAGCAATAGCATCTCTACTACTCATTTATTTTACTGGAACTGTTATGCAAAAGTCAGAGAAAGAAGCTCTGCTGCAATCTCCCCCAGGTAAAAGCAAGCGCAGGCCTGAGTACAGCAGCTCGTGGATTATTGATAGGACCAGCAGCTGAACAACTTCTCCCAAAGCAGCAGAAAAGAAACCTAATTGCAGGAGTAGAGAGTGGGTTTCTGAGAGGGAAGAATCCACTCTGGTGTAACAGGAACACTTTTGAAAGGTTTTTAATTGATACAAGCTTGGAATGCACAAACAAAAATTAATCCCTTAGGGAATCACCTCAGAGAGATCTGAAGCTCCTCTCTAGCCAGCCTGGCTGGCTGAGCTGTGCCCCATATGTGGCATCTTGGTGTGACCTTCCTTCCCCACAGGTATGTGCAGAGGAGGGGGCAGAGCCCATGTGAGGTGTCCCCAGTGCTCTGGGCTGCAGGAAAGGCAGGGACAGGCAGCCTGCTCCTGCTCTGTGGCTTCTCAGTGGAAAATCAGAGATGTGAGAAAACAGCCACAGTCATAAAACCCAACAAAACCCACCCCTTTTCCCCCTCAAAGTAGGCTTGGCTCAACCCAAAGGCTGTTGTCAGCCCACTGACTTCTTCTAGATCACGTAGACAACCAGTCAGCTTCTCAGGGATTCACAATTTCCAAACTCACAGATCTGTGAGGTAACCACAGTCATCCTGACACAGATTTTTTACAAGGAAAAAGTCCCTCGCATGTTTGTACCCCATCAAGAAAAGACAAGTAGCTTGCATCATACAACATTTATTGTTTTTCCCTGCTAAGCAAACTCATGGTAAAAAATGGCTGAAAGTGACCTAAATGAGCAAAAACTACCCAGGAGCAATGTTTATTTTGCAGAACAGAATTCTGTTCAGGAGCCCTCATTAATGTGGAAAGTTTCCGCATGACCTCAGAGTTTCTGTAGCCTGTGAGTGTCCTGCAGCCTCTGCTGAATGTGATGGTAAAGAAATTGCTGCTGCAGCCCCGTGGAGAGAGCAATGAAGTTCTGTCAGTCATGTCTGAGACAGAACAACTGGTTTATTTTTTAAAATAAATTATAAAACCGCACATCTCAGTGCAAGAATGTTAATGGTGCAGATGGATAATCACCTGAAAAGTGCTGCTAAGCAGAGGCAGCTGCTGGTCCCAGGGCTGTGGCCAGTGTCAGACACATCCTGATGTTGGATGTGGCCACCTTCAAAGTGTTGAATATCACTGAAATCAGGCCAAGCTCCTGCTGGCTTATAAGAGGGGTATGAGGAAAAAAAATCATTTCCTGGAGTTAGCCAACATATCAGACCAGAGAAAGTCCATCATCTCATTGATTAGCATCTCTTCTTCTGTTGGCCTTCTCTAATCTCTCCTGTCTGGCCAACTCCTCCCAAACACCTCATTGCTAAATAGCAATTAAAGCATAAGTACATTAGCAAGTCCATATTGTAAACTGGCTTGCAAGCCACACAGTGCTGCCAGCCCTCTCCGTGGCAGTGGGGCTCTGCCTCACCTCTGGCCACTTTCCCATGTCAGGAGTATTGATCCATCCCTCTGAAACAACACCAGGGTTCGTGTCCTGCTCTAACACCATTTTGACCTTTAGGAAATGGCTGCAGCTTCTGCAGGGCAGCAGGAGTTGAATGGGGCTGGGTTCAGGTCGCTGGCTCTGTTCCCTGCTCCAGCAGCTGCTCTCTTCTCCACTTGACCAGGCTAGAAGTTGTCCTTTCTCTTTTCAGATGATGGGAAATGTCCATAGTCAGTCATACATGCAGTGGCATTTTGCAACTCTTCAGTCATTTCTCTCTGTAGCACTGAGAGTTTCCCACAAAGCCACAGGACAGGGAAACCCAGGGCTTCCCTTTCAATATTCAGCTTATCTCCAGGAATTTAGGGACCAGCTCTGGAAACCGATGTCTGCATTGACCCTGCTGGAAGTGCGGAGGAGCTGGGATGGGGTTTTGTGAAGCTGGGGCAAAGGGGTTTTGATGGGAACTGTTGTCTGGGGAGGGAAGCAGATGTGACAGCCCCTGGAGATGGAGCCTCTCTCACTGCCAGTTTGAGGGATGTGCATGGAAGAGGGGAGGACAGGCAGCAGGAAGGCACTAACTCTGTATTTTCCCCACACACAAAATAATCTCTGTTTTCCTGAGTCATCTCTGTGATGTTTTGCTGTGGTAGGTCATAAGCAGCAGTTTCCCAGGAATTAAATAGGACAGTGCTCCAAAGCACTTTGAGTTTGACTCAGTTTGCTGATGCTGCTGAGCACAGGAGCTTCCAGGCAAGCCATACCCCCTTTGCTGCTCTGCTCCTTCTGCATATCAGCATGGGCAAATTCACTTCCCCTGTGGTGAAACAAGGAGATAAAGAGTAATTTTAGAGTCCTGGGGACTTGTGTGAGAGCAGTGTGAGGGCCTCCTCTTTTTTTTTTCATGCCGTTTTGGTGGAGAAGCAAATAGCCAAGCCTAGGAAGAGGGAGGATTTCCCAGGATATCCTTGGATGTCCCTGAGCTCCTGAAGCATACAGGGGATGAGTAAAAGAATGGACGTGGCCCTAGAGAACAGGGATGGTGAACACATGACTCAGGCACGAAGTGGTTTCAGCAGAGGGATGGTAATGCACGAGCAGCAAGATGGGAGCCACCAGCACAACATTTCCTGTTAGCCACACACCAGACTCGCTTGGCTTTCCAAGGAAAAGACACCAGGAAGGACAAACAGGGATCTGCTGAGTAGCCATGGCTTGGTCCATGCTAGAACCTTAGACATAAAAGATAAGAGGGGCCTTGGTGCACATAAGAGCTGCAGCAGGAAATGAAAAATAAACAGGGGCAGGAACAGGGTGAGCTCTGGAGAGAGCCCACAGCCTGGCAGAGGTCTGGGCAACGCTGGGGAAGTGACCCACCAGCCCTGAGCTGGGGTTTTCAAAGTGGGCTCTGCTTTTTCTCCCCTCCAGCAAAGGTAATTTTGGCTGGGGCAATGATCCTGTGCAGTGCTGGCTGTGGGGCAGCGCTGCCATCACTGTGAGTTTCTTTAATAAACACTCTCTGCCAGCAGCTTTTTAATGGGAGCTTTGCCTCGGGAGGATGTGACGTGTGCTAACAGTCTGTCTGCAGAAACACTTGCCTGTCTGTGTGCAGAAAGAGGCCAAACCAGGAGTTTTCTCCTTATTCACACACACACAAATGGGGTGTTTTTAACCTAAAGCTCACGTGCTTTCATGGAGCACGAACACAGTGCTGTCAGATGCTGGGGGAGATCTTTTCTCTCCATCACACAGAGCAGAATCTGCTGCCAGGCTGCCCCAGAGTAGCTGCTCTGAGTGCCTCTCTTTATCCTGGTGGAATATATTTTATGATTCCCAGTGCTTGGATTTACTGAAGTCCAGCACTTGCAGAAAGCTACTAGATATTAAAAAAAAAAAAAAACCAAAAAAACCAAAAAAA